ACATATTTTTGAGTACTTGGCGCTTATTGCTGGAGGTTGAAGATGTACTTAACTATGTAAGTGCTACACACGCTTCTTGTGAACCTGTTCGGTGGATGTTTATGCAAGCATAGTTCATTCCTTGGTACACATTACAGAGTACTTGGTACTCATAGCTGGAGATTGAAGATTTGAAGGTAATTTAATTTATGATAATTGCTAATTTATGATAATGTTTTATACATATTTTGGTGAACCTGTTCATAGGATGTTTAATTACGAATAGTTCATTCCTTGGTACATATTGCTGAACATTAATGAATATTGAAAACTGGTACACATTACGGATAAATAGCAGAATAGGCTGCATAAGTCGATGCGGTGTTTACTTGTCTTATGCTTGGACACGCCTTTTTATGACGTAATATTTTTTACGCCTCTTCTTAAAAACAAGTTATAAGTATGCTATAGCTTCTTATTTGAAGTAAAATTATATTTTAACTGAATTAAAATGTTAAGTTTATAATGTTCTCCGTGAGATTTTTTTTAATTATAAATCTACTTTTGTGTGTTGTGTGGTAGTGTTAGCATTTAACGCAACGAGTTCTCTCTCACAAATGAACCAAATTAAGATACCAAACGATTAAAAACGAACATTATAACCGTAACTTCTCAAAATACAGAAGAAAGAATGTTTTTGATGACTGTGTCTGATTCGGTGCTTACTGCAGAATGGATGATTATCTGAATCTTAATTTTTTTTTTATCAGTTGGAGCGAAGAGTTTAAAACAAGCGTGATTGAGTGGTTTATGGAGAAACGTTTGACTGCAAGATCGTATAAATGCCCAATTTGTGAAACTGATATGAAACTAGTAGAGCGAAAGAACTATATAGATGGTTTTGAGCGGATGTGTAGAGTTACTGGAGGCGAATGTAAGCATCGAATTACAAGGTCTGTTCGAAAGCACTCGTGGTTTGCGAAGAGTAAATTGAGCATGTGTGGTGTCTTGCGAGTTACCTATAAGTGCGGGAATGATTTTATACAATCGGAATTGCTTGCTAAAAATACGGTGATCAATTGGAAAAGTTTTTGTAGGGAAGTGTGCATAGAGTTATGCTTGAAGAAGAATGTGGTGTTGGGTAGGGTGCTTGAAGGAGAATGTGATTAGGTGTAAAAGGAGAGGACTGAAGGTAAGTTTCAATTATTATTATTATTGACTTAAATAAAATATCGGGTGCTTGTCAAAATATGGCAATTTGGATATTCGGTAGTTACTTTATTCTGGTGGCTTTATTTTCGTTTTGTGTAATTTTTCTGGAAACTTTTTTTTTATCACTCGAATCAATGGAGTTGGTTATTTGCGAATTTCTGCAATTTCCCGATTTCTTTTAAGTGAAAGCAGATTTCTGAGTATATGAGCAATGCAGAGTTTATTCAATGTCTGATTTTCTAAGTGAAAAGAGATCGCTATGTACATGGGCAAAGCCAAAGTAGTGACCGATGTCTAGTTCGTGCAATTCTCTGAATTTTTTAAGTGATAATAGATCGATGTGTTCATGGCCAAAGCCAATGTAGTGCGTAATGCCGAGTATATTCAATTCTATGAGGTTTTTTTAAGTGAAAATAGATCGATGTGTACATGGGCAAAGCCAATGTGGGGTGCAATGCCGAGTTTGTGCAATTCTCTGATGGTTTTTTAAGTGAAAATAGATCGCTGTGGACATGGCCAAAGCCAATGTATTGCGCAATGCCGAGTTTGTGCAATTCTCTGATGCTTTTTAAGTGAAAATAGATCGATGTGTACATGGGGAAAGCCAATGTAGTGCGCAATGCCGAGTTACCTATAAGTATCCTATTTGGATGTGCGCGATGCCGAGTTTGTGCAATTCTCTGATTTTTTTTAAGTGAAAATAGATGGATGTGCACATGGACAGCGAGTTTGTGCAATTCTTTGATGTTTTTCGAGCGAATACGAATCGTTGTGCACAAAGGAAAACGAAGTTGTGTGTGATGACGAGGAGTAATGTAACTTTTTTTATGTGCAACGTTTAACATATCGTTCGCGTATTTTTAATTTGTATTGTTGTGTTAATTGTATTTTTAATTGTTCGGTTTTGATAAATTCTTTTTTATTATTGTAAAGTTTAAAATTTTTAGAAAATAATGAAAATTGCCTAATTACTGGTACGTAAGGAATTATGTCGTTTCGTAGCAATAAGGTAATTTGTAAAAATGATAAAATTAAAATGTTCCACAATATGGATTTAAATTTTAAAAAAACTTTTTTTTTTTATTTGTATAAATGCTAAAGCTTTTAAAACTCTTTGAAAAATATTGAAGCTGTATGAAACACAAGTATGAAAGACTGCGTTGTTTATCATTTTAATAATTGGTAGAATTCGCTCACTGTATCATGGTAATTTTAATTATAAATGATTTATAATTAAATTACAGTACGTACAGGGTTGCCACTCAAACAGGAGAATGAAATTCCCTGACTTTTCCAGGTATTTTTCGAGAAAATAACAGTCTATCCGCGTAATGTACGTTGGCTGTGCTAAGAGGTAAATTAATTATGGTATTACTTGTACTGTGTAGCAAATTCACTTAATTATTCAATAAATCTCAGAGGACATTTATTCTTAATTATTCTTGGTACACTTTATTTGATAATTTTGTTTACTTTTCCATTTAAGAAACTTAATAAAATTTAAGATATATACATTGGATAACAATTTTACGTTTTATTTAATTATTACTCATGATCATCACCAGTTCAACATGAGGCTAATCCGGTTCTTATAAATCACAACGCAATGCTAAAAGTTAGGTTAGATTTTAGGTAAATTTAATTTGTGTGAGGTGTCTTCTTAAAAGGCACCTTAACACTTGAAAACACAAATATAGTTATAATAGGAGTTGTTTTCTCCACTGAAGATTGAGATTAGAATCTTCCCAATCTGGAATAAAATAAGGCTTTTTTTTTGCAGACATTCTGCAGCTAAATGAAAGAAAGAAATCTATTTAATGATATTTTTTTACTAAATTGAGGTATTTTATATTTATTTCGCAGCATACATTAGGAAAAAATATGTGCATTAAATTTCGTGATGTTATCATACTGCTAGAATTAATTTCAGGATTATGCCAGAGAAAATTTCTTGAAATTTGGGAATATTATTTACTAATGATAAATAAATTTAGAGGGAAGAAGCAACATTAAATGGCATGAATAACATAAAAATAAAGATACGAAAATCCATTTTTAAAGTATGTATTAAAAATAAGTATGTAATTTATAATTAAATTACATACTTATTTTCAGTAAAGCCTAAGCTGTTATAAATGTAAATAAAGTAAAGTAAAGAATTTCATATTAATTTACAATAATAAACAATTCATTATTGTTATTTTTAAGAGAAAATAGAAAAGTACGCGTAGTGTTAATGCCATAAAACCATGGACATGGGCGGGGCGCGTGTCACCGACGTGTTCGCAAGAAAGAGTAGGGGCGATCTGGTTTATTTTAACACTAAAACCTATGGCGTTTGTATCACACAACTCTTTTTAATTATTAAATGTGATACGTTGTATAGTGATGAGATTATGAAAGCCACAGTTTTTTTCCAAATAGGATTTAATATATCTCATTAAAGCACTTTTTACTGCATTTCGCGCATTTTTTTCACGCGTAATTCTTGTACAAACATCTTTACTTTGGTGAAACGGTAAAAACTCTAGGCACAAAATTTATGAACTTAATTTTGCGTACAAATAACGTAAAATTAAGTAAGATTGATAGTACGTGATGTTTTGAAATAAATAGGGTAAAATTAAACACGATCTGATAACTTTTTTTTAAATTTAATGACCATTTTCAGACAGTGATTTTCAAAACTATCATAACATTACAAAAGAATAATTTATTTGATTATATCATCATTTACTTATTAACATTAAAGTGGAATATTTATTTTTAGTAATTTATAAAATTCGGAGCATAAAAATTTTCTGAGGGTAATGAAGGGGGGATGGAGGTAAAATAAAATCTAGAAGCACTCAGATTTTATATTACGCCCAAAAGTAACCTTTTTTAACGTGTTACCTATATTTACTGAATATCATGTTCTTCGCCCGTAAACCACATACAACAGCATATCTTTAGAATTTCCGCACTGGAGATAAATCTTATTTCCCGTACAGTGCTCTCTCTGAACTCGTTGAGTTTGTTAATCAAAAATTCGTTAAAGTTTTAGAAAATATGAAATAGATTTAAACAAATTCGAAATTCAGCCGTCCAGATGGGTTCTCTGGCTAAGGAAAGTGTTACCTTAGTGGACCTTAGCGAAAGATTTTCGAAGTGAAACTGGTTCGCATCCGAAATATACATTGGGAAAAATACAAAAATGTCCATGCAACTAGCCCATCTGCCTGGATTAGAATCCGGGTCAAACTAGCAGGGTTCAGAGAACTTACCACTCAGTTGCTGATGGGCTTTATTAAAAAGGGAGATTTCATATATCCCATCATTGTATATATATAGATGTCATATATCCCATAATTCTGTGTTATAGAATATTACATACTCTGAATTTACATATACTGAAATCACATGAACAAAATGGCTTATAAGATTTAAACACATGTTTCAGGTAAGCCAAGTAAGCTAATAAAAATTTAGATTTTTTTATTTAATAATAAATAATACGTATTAATAAAAAATAATAAATAAAATAAAATAAAATAAATAAATCTGAAGTTTATACCTTTATAGTACACTTAAATAAAATACTTTCAATTTTACATATTATTCAGAGTGCAGTATTTGTTGTTGTAGTTGCAATTGTAATATAGAATATGTAACTTCATAGTGTTGAATAAATAGTAGCTACTAGTGTACCAACAAACTGATCTGTGTTTAGCTAATCTTCTGTAATCTTATTTTCCATTTATCAAAAATTCAAACATATGACAAGCTGTAACTAAAACTGCAGAAGTAAATAGCATGAAATAATCTACCTATCTAAGGCAAGCTTCCATCCTGCTAGTCTTTTATTTATTTCGTCCATGACACAAACTCAGCTCCAGGTTGTATAGATTAATCCAAGGCAGGCACAATTACTTGCTCTAAGAATCTAACTATAAAACATAAAAGAATGCAATTTTACAATAATGTAATTCCCTTAAAATTAAGGTACTGAAGCTTAATCATATTAAATTTATTTATCATCAATAAAATTTCAAATAATAAAAATTTTCCACACTAAAAAGTTCAATAAAAAGAAAAATTGTACTTACACTAGTAATTCTGAAATTTTCAGTTATTTTTCTACTCAAATATGACTAAAAATTATAACCATATTTGTTGGCAGAAGGTATTATAGGTTTCAACATTGAAATATGAAAAACTGGAAAGTTTTTTTAAGAAAAACAGGAGATCTTTACACTGCACAGAAATGGCATTTCAAAAGAATTGTAAATTGACTGAAATACATTTTACAAAATTCAAGCAAATGTAATATTTATAATGTGATTCTGGAGTAAAATATATTTAATTAAATATTCTAAGTTAGATATTCTTTAGCTAATGTCATTTTGTCATTTTCACACTCTTTTATACCGAGAAAATCCTGAGTAGAAAAAATTTTTTTATTATTAAAGTACTTTTTATTACGAAGAAAATAAAATTAGTAATTAACGTACATACTAAAGAGAGGATAATAAATTATAAGTTAAATATAACTATTAACAGATTCAAAGTTGGTTGAATCTTAGAACTGTCTATGAAAGTCTTAGTTTAGTTATAAAAGTCTTAGAAACTGTCTATGAAAGATTAAGAAAATTCAGATAAAATAAAAATTTAATGAGAAAAATTATGCTGAGAATTACTAGGTGTGAGGGAGCATAATATGCACAACTTAAGTTTTATTAATTCAGCTGTTGGAAAATATTTCCTTACTAGCTTTCCCTAGTAAATACTTAAAAAAAAAAAAAAAAAAAAAAAAAAAAAAAAGAGTTAGGTTAATGTAATTACCCTTGACGGCTACCTGCCTACGCGGATGGATACCTTCGTGGAGGACTTACTAAGGGAAGTGGCTCATACACATGCGAAAAATCACAAAAGCGAGCCAGTCCGTTCGTGGGATTCGAGCCTCGGGACCGAATTACCAATGTTCAGTGGCTTTACCGCTCCGCCGCTGGTGGACCCTTTAGAAAACCAGGAGACCGGGACATGCGATTGAAAAACCAGGAGTATCCTAGTTTTACTGAGAGATTTGGCAGCTATGAGATACACATATAGTAGGGATTCTCAATTAACGAAGAATTTGAATAACGTCAGATTTATTTATTTATTATATAACCAAAAGCTCATGGCAAAAACTTCTATAACACAGAACTGAAATCACATGAACAAAATAGCTTAAAAGATTTAAACACATGTTTCAGGTAAGCCAAGTAAGCTAATAAAATTTAGATTTTTTTATTTAATAAATAAATAATACGTATATAATAAAAAATAATAAATAAAATAAAAATAAATAAATCTGAAGTTTATACTTTATAGTACACTTAAATAAAATACTTTCAATTTTACATATTATTCAGAGTGCAGTATTTGAATAAAAGAATCCTTGAGGGAGAACCGTAATCTGAAGTATGGTGTGAAACAGGGAATGGGATATAAAATGTTAAAACCATAATATATACATATACATTAATGCATAACTAATTTCAGTAACTGCATTATCTTATAATTGGCGTTCAATTCATATACAAAGCAAGCAAAACATTTCAAAACGATTAGTAAAATGATATAAAGTTCAAATAAAGAGTACAAAGCAAATTATTTCTACAGGAACTGTCAACTTCATTTTTACTGAAGTTCATATTTACATGGTCATTATTTCTACAGATATTCATTAATTGATCAAACAGTTTTGTCTAAGTGATACTAATACGGGACATATTAAATTAATGAAATAATACTTTTCAGAATTTGAATGTATCTTCTACTTTCACAACTACTTGAAGGTGTAAAAAAATATTGTTTTACTAAATATCAACCTAAAGAGCAAGTTTTTAATGGAAATAGGTCACATTAACGACAACTAAACATATTTTAACTAAAATATATAAATAACTAATTATCATTTAATCAATTAAGAGTAAAAAATTTAGGCTATCAGAGAACGAGTAACGTCAATTTAGAAAGTAAGTGAAATCATAAATACATCATGTTCACAATTACACGTTAAATTTCATTAAAATTAAAGTTCGTGCTATTAGTTATATTTTAAAAATTTATTTTAATGATAGCTTCAACTCTTGAATTACTTTTGTTCCAAAAGTGTGATTAATTTTGAAAGTACAATGATTTTAGGCAAATTATTCCTCTGATAAAATAATTATACATTAAGACAGATTAGAAATCAGACCAGCAGTCTGATTGTTTCAGACAGTAATCCTAATTTATCTTCTTCATAAAACCTATGAAGATATTAAAAAGTTTATGCATAATTCATTTGCACACTTCATTTACGTATAGACCATACCCACAAATTCGTATGCAGCCTTCATTTTCGCAACTATTGGTGATAGACATATACTTTCTATTACAAAAATGTTTTAAATTATGCAAATATTCATATTTTGACATTTTTTAATTTTAAAAATCAATTTTGTAAAAATTAAATACTATATCTTTTCGCAAAGGTTCAGTCCCTACAGTTATATTCATTCCAAAAAATAAAGCAGAAATATTTTCAGTCCCAAATGACGAAAATTGAGCAAGATATTTAAAGCCTGAAATCATATTCAGGCTCTATACAAACAGAAAAGCAAAAGGTTTGAATTTATTATGTATCTAAAAATTAAATATCAATTTAGAAAAATATTTCTTATATTAAATGAAAAAGCATTTGTATGCAGATCTTCATGAAAAATATTCCTCAATATAATTCTTTTCCAAAAAGAGATCCTATTCAGAGAATCCTATTTTATGTTTCAGAAAACAATGCCAAGCTTCAAAACTGGTACATAGGCAACTCACAACATTATTTGCATAAATTAAAAATATTTTAATTTACTTTTTTGTGCGACCATTAGATTATAATTCTAAAGTGATAAAACTTTATAAGAATATTAACAATGAATTTTTTTGAGTTTGAAAACTTACAACTTACTAGCGTGAACATTTTTTCAGTATGAATAAAAGGCATATGTGGTTAAAATGAAGCTGAAAACAGAATAAAATATTCTAGGTTGACATACTAAAACCATGTTTAAACATTAGTAAAATAAAAATTTTTGCAGACATGCTGTTTGCTTCATCGGTACTGCAACCTTGCAGGAATTAAAGGGAACTCGATTGAGCCATTCATTGCAGCTTGAGCTGATGAAGCAGATGGACTGACTCTGTTAACTCCTAATTTATTTATGTTTAAACATAATTTTAGCATGTCAGTTTAGACTATTTTATTTCTTTTTTAACTTCTTTTGGTGTACCAATTGTAACAAAATTACAAGCTAAAGAATGTTACATGCCAGTAAATCACCAAACAATATCATTGACTGGCATTTAAGAAAATATCTATATATGTCAACCTAAAATTATTCTAATTTATAATTAACCAACCTTTCAAGTTAAATCAAAATTGTTGTAAAAAATTTCAAGTACTTAAACTAAATACCTTAGATCAATTTTTACTTCCTCGTACGAAATAAAAGAAGTATTGTCCACGAAAAATCCTGGTATAATATTCAGTGAAAATATCCATTTTGACCGCTATCGAATGCAATTTAACGATGTTTTTGCGCGACATGTGTACGTAAGGACAGAATAAAGGACTCTTTTTCCCAAAACGAATTATAAAACCAATTTAAAATGGATTCAGAAGACATTTTTTCGTGGCGTATGTACGTTTTTGAGTTATGCGAGATAGATACATATACGTATCTCGCATAACTTAACAAGTAGCCTCAGAACGTTGAAATTTTGTATATAGGACTGCTATAGCATGTAGTTGTGCACCTCCCTTTTTTGTGGCAATCGCCGCACCAGCCCGGCGACGCAGCGGCTAGCGTATACTGCACTACAAGTCCGTACCACAGGTCATAGCAGCACCACAGGTCCGGGATTCGATTCCTGGGCTGGGCAAGGTCGACTCAGCCTTTCATCCCTTGATTTCCATCTCTTGGCTCGATAAAATGAGTACCAAGTTCGCTTGGGGACTTAACATTGGGGGTCCTGTGACAGGTACAGGTAAAAGTGTTGGGAGCACCAGAACTTCATTAAAGATTGCACAGGTGTAGCTCCCAATCACTAACAATAGAGCAAGGGGGAGGGACAGAAGAAGAATAAAAGCTGATGATAGTTAGAAGAAGATGACAGAAGAAGAATAAAGCTGATGATCTTTAGAGGGAGATTTAGAAGTTTATTATTAAGAGAGGAGAATTAATTATTATTAAGAGAGGAGTTTATTATTAAGAAAGGGAGAACGATTTTTAGAAGAAAAAGAAGAAAACTAGAAAAAGGGTCATTAGAAGGGTTACTGTGTAGTGGGTAAATCTTTATATGTTTGCACATTTTTTTAAAATTTTTAAAAAAATTATTTTGGCTTTTTTTTTCTTTTTAGGCTTTAAATTTGCTTTTTTACTTTTATACGTGTTTGTTAAAATTTAAATTTAAATTTGTTTAAATCTTAATATATATATATATAATTGAAAAAGAAAATGTAAAGCTAACTTGTAATAGCGAATAATACATCAAGTATACAATAACACATAATGTGTCATTATAACAAAATTTTGAATTTTCCAAATTTGGAATAAAATGCTAAAACATAGAATATATCATGACAAATACAGAATAATACTTGAAATATAGAAAATAAAATATAGCATAATACATAAAGTATAGAATAGAACATAATATATCATATAATAAAATTAGAATTTTTAATAAAGTGCTAAAATATAGGATAATACATGATGTATCATATAAAAAAATTAATAAAATAGAAGTATAAAATGTAGAAGAGAATAAAATTGTATTTTAGAGTTCATGATCACAAATAGTTTTCAGTATTCATTAGACAGAGTTGATGAGTCATTAAAGTGTTCATGATTGTAGAGTTCAT